TTTTACAGACGAATCCCCCGCTAGCGTGGCCGTGACGAACTCACTCAAGTCCCTTCACTCCCTCAACAGATAAAGAAATCGTAATGACACGTTTGCAAAAAAACCATCCCCCCGGGGGGATTGAACCCGTGGTATAGGTCTTAAAACTCCAGCCCGTCGCGTTACCACAGCGGGGTTAGTGGTTAACGCGACGGGTGGAGTTTTGAGACTCTATGACCGCGGGTTCAATCCCGGCGGGGGTAGGTTTATTTGCCCAATCTGTCATTACGATTTCTTGAGTCATGTTACCTGTCATTTAAAAATTTATATCAAATAATTTAACATCAGGCTTAATTTTTTTTTTTGGGATTTTCATTTAATAAAAGGGGAAGCACAAAAACCCGAAGGGGTTATACAGCACCTGGGGGGATTCAAGGGGAAAAATAGACTTTTTTTCTTGGATCAAGAGCCCGAATTACATAAGGGTCCCCCCTTGTTGTGGAAATAGTAACACCCCTGACCTTAAAAATTGATGCCCGATATCAAGACCCTCAGCACATTAACAGGGAGGAGTTTGGACTCGCCCTGCACTCTCTAGGTGAGTAATGTTAACACGCCGAGGGGACGCCACTAGAATGGCGCCCTATCCCCGATACCTGATTATGGCCCAATCCCCGTTTTCTATATTTTTCCCGCCATTACTGTAAAGGGGGAAAAATCGACGCCTGATTCGGGTACGAGACTTGGCCTCCCTCACAGGGGCCCAGTAGGCCTGTGCAGTGCTCCTTCTTTTTTTATGACAGTCAGCGCCATTTGGTAAAAATGAACCCCGGACCTCCAGTGGATGGGGGCCCCCTGAAGTTAAAGGTTATTAGTTCCACAGTAGACCCGCCCCATAAGCCAGACACCCCAGTCGGATAGGGGCCCCAAATTACGCCCTGATAACCCAATAAAGACAGTTTCTAATCTTTATTTTTACTGGGATGCTTTAATTAATAATAATAATAAAAATAATAATAATAATATCTTTATTTACTACAAGTAATGTACAAGGGGTACAGACCATGTTGACATAATGTTCATTATCGAAGCAGTACCAGCTGAGCTGAAGGGGTATACCTGGAGGTATTGTCCCCTTTGCCCCGGAAAGTAAATGAAATGTCTAGTTTTGTTAGTTTAATGTATTTTTTACGCACCCTATATCCAACTGGGATCATGAAAAAACACCTGTCTGCTGGGGCGTGTCTTTGTAGGATTTAGCTAGTGGATAAGGGACATGTACATTGTGTTGTTTTGGGTGGGCAAAGTGTCTGAGGTCGAACCCTGACCCCACAGTTCGGGAAAAAGTTAAGTAACTTTACATTAATAGAGGATCAAGGAGGGAGAGCTTATTAAGGAAGAGGTTTTTTGGGGACCCCTTTAAAAACCCGAAAAGGGCACCAGGTGAAAGGGGTTATAAGAAAGAATTTCGGTTACCCATAAAAACCCCCGAAAAGAACCAGGTGAAAGGGGTTTATTAAAAAGAAGTTCGGTGACCCTTAAAAACCCCGAGAAAGACCCCAGGGGAAAGGGGTTTTCATTAAGAAAGAATTTCGGTGACCCTTAACCCCCCGAGAAAGACACGGAAAAAAGGGGTTCATTAGAAAAAGTTTCGGTGCCTTAACAACCCGAGAAAGACACCAGGGGAAAGGGGTTCATTAAAAAAAGAAGTTTGGGTGACCTTAAAACCCCCGAAAAAGAACCGGTGGAAGGGTTCATAAAAAAGGGAAGTTTCGGTGCCCCTTAAAAACCCCGGGAAAGACAAAAGAAAAAACACTTTGGGTTTCCATGATGACGTAAAAATTTTTTTTTTTTCCGAACTAAGTGTAATAGGTTTTTTAATGTGTCTATATGGGAAAAAAATGTTTTTGAAAATAAGATAAAACCCCAAGAGTTCCTTTGCGCATCGCGGAGTGCGGGGGGGGAGGGGCGCGTTTTTTTTTTGAATGGTGGTGAGGAAGCTGAGAAAACAGGGAAACCACGAAATTGCGTTACGGGGGCCCCAAAGGATTAATACAGGCCTCATTTCATAATAAAAAGGGTTTGAAATTTGTTCCTGGGGAGAGTGGGGAAACGGGATTTGGGCCACAGTAATAGAGTGGAAAAAAGTGTGATAAAGAAGGACCGGGTGCTGACCGCCACAAGGACTGTGCCCCGGGGGAAAATTACCCTTGGATTAATCATCATATGGTCTCAGATCTTAATGGAGGACCCTAGTTTGTTAATATTTTTGAACTTAAATCGTTGTGAATTGTAATGTAATTAATGAAAATAACGCTAAGTTAAAGAAATGTGAAGTGAAATAAGTCGTTTGCTCCGAGTAAACACGTAGCCCCTTTTGTTAACGAACGGGAAGGGAAACTCTTGATCACGACGTCAAAACAGGACAAACCAGCGGTACCTCGTCCTGCGGGAATGAAAATGTGTCGGTGTAGAGGACAGAAAATGAGATGGTGAATCAGAAATGGGGAAAATATAAATCACCCACTTTAAGTAACCCTTAGTTATAGCAACCTTAGATGGCCAGTAGTGGTATGTTATAATTAATGGTTACGAGTGACCAGTACATCAAGTGCCCACCAGAGAACTTTGGGTAAGTAGTGGGTTATTACATATTTTTCCTTGGGGGAGTACCCCGTGTGTCCTCCCCCCCCCCCCCTTCTTTCAGTTAAACAAATTAATCTTACAGCCCCACAATTAATTAGT